TCTCGGTATGAATTTTTTCAGTCCCTTTCAGCCTGAAAGAGTGTTCAAAGTGTACAAATCATGTAAATGTTCACAAATTATATGCAGTAGAGTACATTAATACAGTATGTTCCCTAGACTGTTCATTTCAATTTCGAATTTTTTAAAGCTGTTAAATAAACTTTATAATGAATTAGGGGAATAAAAACATTATTTGATTTATAGTTATAACGGAAAATCATTGTTTGTAAAGTGGAAGGCATAGAGTCTATGTGAAAGGATCATTGGTCAATTATGAAACAAGCCTATTTCATAATTTGGTTTTCTTTTAACAATAATTTTAGATTTTCTATAAAATGATATTCCACAGACCAAAAGGTTATATAGTATAAATATGTGAAGTACACCTGCAGTATGGAAACAGTACAACAAAATTGCCGTTTTACATTTTTTTCTAGTAAATTCCCCTCTAATATATATTCTATTCTCTGTGAATACAATGGTCTTAATTATGTGATATCAATAACATCGTATGAATTGAATTACGTCAATTCCTGTTAATTTTGTAACCTAAACTATTGAATAAAGTTAGTTGAATGAGACTCTGCTTTTGATTACGTTATCAGAAACCTAAGTAAGCTTGAAAGAAAGCTTTGGTACTCGTGGAATTATACGAGCTGAGAAATTGCTTGTGTAGCAATTTCATTGGACTGTGTGTCTTTAGAAACGGGGAGTTAAGCCTGGTTAAGATTTGGCCTGTGTGTCATCTAGAACCGGGAGTTAACCCTGGTTGAGATTTGTACTGTGTGTCCTTTAGAATCTGAGAAGTTAGTCCTGGTAACGAGCAGACCTGGATAGATACGTCTCGAGTAAATTGTTATGGAGTAGGTATTTGTTACATATATATATATATATATGAGCAAAGATCTTTATTATGTAGAAAATACTAATGAGCAAGAAAAGTGGCTCTGTTGGTCAGGTTATAATCGCGAATCGTTAATGGTAAAGCTTTAATTAATTGTAGACCACTTATGCTTTGGCACTTTTAAGATGTAATTTAATCATTTATAATTTTTTGCGTTAATTTCAATCATTTCATTTTGTTAAATAAACCTCTTACTGAACCAAGGAAATTTTGAGTTTGTAGCTAGTTAAATACAATTCTGTATTGTGTATTTAAACACGTATATTTATATACAGATGGGTTTATGGTGATTCTTATCTTTTATGTTTGTTTTCCTCCCTCCACCACACTGTTTCTACATATTACAGAGTTTTTAATTCGTTTATTAAAAAAGTATTTAGTTTTGATCCCATCTCTCTAGCATAATTATTATTTAAGTACTTTATCTATTTATCTAAAACTTCAGTGTAATTGTAAACCGAGATAAAAGTAAACAATGAAATTGAAACCGTCCTATGGCGGTTAAACCTTTATGTAACGCCTGTTTATTAAACAAATAATGTCAGTTTTAATGGATTCATTCATTATTCATTATTTCATTCATCTCTTATATTTTATAAAATGCCCCAGCTTGCCCCAATCATTCTTTTTCTACTCCTGAAAAGGACGGGCGTCGATATTAAGTGACCCTAGAATTAAAAAAAATAATCTGGCCGACTCACATCAGTATCCTCGAAACCTTAATAGTTTGTCTAACTTGTAAAGTGTTTAATTCTGAAAATTTCTTCCCTTTTCTGAAGCATGAAAATGCGCAATTTATTTTTGAAGAAAAACCTCAAAGTCAAATAAATAGTTTATAAACAACAAAAACATGGATGTCTATTTCATACTTGACCAGACAAAGCTTTTAAGGTACCGTTGTGAATTGAACTTACCACTCTTACAATAGAGAGTCAAATAAAACTACGTTTACAATCCCTTTAACCCTTTAACTCTTTAACTCACCCAAACCCATCAAATCCTTGGTGTCTTTTTCTCAATCCTAAGGTTTTCCTTGGAGAGGTTGACGGTCAAGTAAAGCGAGATAAAACTGACCGCGAGGTGGTTGATATATAATAAACAGGTTCAGATCTCTTTCATCGTTCTAGCATTTAACTCTCCTGAAGCCAACTATCATAAAGTTTAGGATCTGGAATTAGTATCGGTTAATAATTAATAATTTTTAAATCATTTTAGTTGTTGTATCATTTCAGACATACTTTATAAACATGTTAAATTGCTAAAAGGTTTCTGTCCCTATAACGTTAATAGATATGTTTTTGTATAATTAGTTTTGCCTGTCTAGGTTATGTACTGTAGATATTGTTTACATTAATATCACAGTTACATAACCTTCACAGATGGAACATAGTTTTATTCACAGTTTATTTATCTATCCTGCCTAGTGGTGTCTACTATAGTCCTGTATCATATCATGACTAGAGCTGACACTGCTAAATATGGTAGTCTTTACTTCAATTAAACATGTACTCACGTACTATTTTAAAGTTCTGGAGAAACAAGTAGCAGTGGGATTGTATTATATTCTCACTGTTTCATGTTCTTCCCGAACTAAACCAGTTCTTCAGCTTGGATATATTTGATCTAAATATATGAACCATGTTCTTCTAGCTTTAAACTTCTGGTCTTCAGAATTTATAGATTTTAATAGTTTTGTCTGTCTAGGTTATGTACTGTAGATATTGTTTACATAAATATCCTGTCTAGTGGTGTCTACTATAGTCCTGTATCATATCATGACTAGAGCAGACACTGCTAAATATGGTAGATCTTGCTTCTATAGAGCATATACTCTCTTTTAAATAGTTCTGGAGAAACACGTAGCAGTGGGATTGTATTATATTCTCACTGGTTCATGTTCATCCCAAACTAAACCAGTTCTTCAATAATTGAATTTGGATAACAATAATAATAATAATGCTCTTGTATCTATATCAGCTTACAGATTATATATTAACTAAAAGAATTTAAAAAATGAGCACCCTAGCAGCAAAGTTTATATAGTTTTTGTAGTTTTTTGCAAAATTGTATTGCACGGATTTCATGCCGACGTATTATTTTTTTAATTTTATGCCAAAATAGATTTCATGCCACGAATATTATTAAATTAGCCACGAACGTTAAAAGGACCCAACTTGACAGGACTTTAGGGAATATAAACTCATGCATATTGATCAAACAACTAGGAATCTAATAAAGACCGCTTAACCTTTTATAATGATTTGACAACTACAGGATGTCTCAATAAATTATTTTTAATTAATTTTTAATAAATAGGATTTTATTGCATGTTATATTGTTAAACGTGTACCATGCACATTTACTGGATAGTTTTAAGTTATGATTCAAAATTAAACAATTTAATTCGATAGATTTGATTTTTGTTTGCAGCGATCTCTTATCTTATCTCTTATTTGATCTCTTAATAGCAATGTTCCATTTAGTTTAAACGATTTTTGTAACTGAAATTTACAAAACATTATTATACAAGTTATCCCAATAAACATGGGAATTCAGTGACGAATTCGATATCGTCTTTATTACCTGATTTCAAAAGCCAACCGTATGCAGTCAAACATATTTAAGTTTTAAAAATAGCAGCCGAAAATCTTACGGATTATAGTTTACTTACTAGGTATCACTATACTAAATCAAAGAATTATTTAAAAAGTCGAAATCGAATTCGTCACTGAATTCTCATGTTTATTGGGACACCCTGTATGAAATATCTTTGTAAAGTAAATCGAAAAGTATTTTCTAATTCATCTTTTAATCTTTGTGTGGAGTATCCTTAATCTTGATCACTTGATCTCGATATTCAGGGTGGGTACTTTAAAATTTAAGGAATAATGCTTAATCTTTCAATTAAAGTTATTCCGCATAGATGGAGATCTAGTTAACCTTTAAATTCCGAAATTCACAACACATAAGTTCTGACTTTAATTCTGGAGAACTAATTTCTATATTTAAAGTTTTCAGAAAAAGTTAAATAATTTGACTCGAAATCTTGCAACATAGTTAACTTATTTTCTTCATATACTGATTAATATCTTTTATTTACTCAAAATCCCCCCAACAGAGTATATTTCCATTGCTAGATATCTCGCAAGAGAGTTGATTTATTGCTCGATATCTCCCAACAGAATTGATTTATTGCTCGATATCTCCCAACAGAATTGATTTATTGCTCGATATCTCCCAAGAGAGTTGATTTATTGCTAGATTTCTCGCAACAGAGTTGATTTATTGCTCGATATCTCCCAACAGAATTGATTTATTGCTCGATATCTCCCAAGAGAGTTGATTTAATGCTCGATATCTCCCAACAGAATTGATTTATTGCTCGATATCTCCCAACAGAGTTGATTTATTGCTCGATATCTCCCAACAGAATTGATTTATTGCTCGATATCTCCCAACAAAGTTGATTTATTGCTCGAAATCTCCCAAGAGAGTTGATTTATTGCTCGATATCTCCCAACAGAGTTGATTTATTGCTAGATATCTCCCAACAGAATTGATTTATTGCTCGATATCTCCCAACAGATTTGATCTATTGCTCGATATCTCCCAACAGATTTGATCTATTGCTCGATATCTCCCAACAGATTTGATCTATTGCACGATATCTTCCAACAGAGTTAATTTATTGCTCGATATCTCCCAACAGAGTTGATTTATTGCTTGATATCTCCCAACAGAGTTAATTTATTGCTCGATATTTCCCAACAGAGTTGATTTATTGCTCGATATCTCCCAATAGAGTTGACTTATTGCTTGATATCTCCCAACAGAGTTTATTTATTGCTGGATATCTCGCCAACAGAGTTAATTTATTGCTCGATATCTCCCAACAGAGTTGATTTATTGCTTGATATCTCCCAACAGAGTTAATTTATTGCTCGATATTTCCCAACAGAGTTGATTTATTGCTCGATATCTCCCAATAGAGTTGACTTATTGCTTGATATCTCCCAACAGATTTGATCTATTGCTCGATATCTCCCAACAGATTTGATCTATTGCTCGATATCTCCCAACAGATTTTATCTATTGCTCGATATCTCCCAACAGAGTTAATTTATTGCTCGATATCTCCCAACAGATTTTATCTATTGCTCGATATCTCCCAACAGATTTGATCTATTGCTCGATATCTCCCAACAGAGTTGATTTATTGCTCGAAATCTCCCATTAGCGCTGATTTGTTGATTGTTGGCTCTGAAACAGACACTTTTATAAATTCTTTATTTTATAAATAATAAGATGACATCATTTTATAAGGGGCAAAATAACTTATTAATCGCCTCAAACTATAACTTTTTAATCTTCATGCAACATGATGTCGTAGTCGAACATTCCTTTAACTTCAAAACTCAGTGTACAAATCTTTTAAATGTTGTGTAAAAAACGTACATAAAAGACAGGGCATTTGCCAGCAAAATGGTCAACATATCTGTACATAAAAATAAGGAAAAGTCTGTCATCCCTGAATAGTCCAAGGTTTAAAGAGTACCATTGTGAATCTGGGATGTCCGTCTTTAAACGGAAGGTTAAAGTCCCTTTAGCTAACTTGGAAAAAGTGAAAACGTGGAGACCAGATATGGTCAACATTATTTCAAACTTGTTTTATACCTTAAAGTACGTAGTCTTTTGATAAAACATTTTCAAAACTATTTTTGCGATGATAAAGAATTACCGTCTTCGTATGGATTTTCAGGTTCAGTACCATCCGATGAATCCGGAACTATTACAGAAGCTCCGACCATATTTAGCCCCATCTTAGAAACAGATTCATATCTGGAATAAAAAAGTAGATTTTATAAATTTCAATTTGCATAATTGTTAAATCGAACTTTGGTTTAAGAATATGATGTTGAAAATTTTGAACTTGCTTTATTCGTATTTCCTAGATACATTACTTTATCTATAGTGGTTAGTTGGACCCATCAAACTAAGGAATAGAAAGACGGCTGTTGGACTCAAGGTCTGATTTTAAATATGGTCCAATGAATGTGAGATACAAATTATTGTTATTTGTACTGCACACAACTCATTTTACTTGCTTAATCCGTTGATTTTCAAGCTGCTAATATAATTTGTTTGCTTTAATCATCAATACACTTTGCTTTATATTCGTCTTCCCATTCCACAGTTTACTGGGGATCTCTGTACTTACCCAAACTTAGCTCGTCTTCTATCAATATTCTTCCTGTGAGTAATCTTCATCTCTATAATCTCATTTATCTCTTCAACCTTCTCATCAGACAGAAACTGTTTCATTACAAGAGCCTTCTCTCCAAAACTGTAAATTAGAGAAAATAGTAAAGAGCTGATTATTCGCCTTAAACCCCTTTTTTATTATTCCTAAGCTTTCAAAGATATTTGATATTATTATATATGAATTCTGCTAAAATAAAACTTAGCATCTTATTACTATATCTCTGCATCCGGATGGTTTAAACCTTTGATATTTCAAACAATTAGATTATTTGATCTAACAGAATTCATAGCGTTAAATATCAAAGGTCACCAACATTGGGTTGAAAAGATATAGATTGGAAAATCTATGTTAGTGGCAAAAGCTCAATTCCTTTGGACTAAAGAAATGTTTTCAAGGTCAGGTTGCTAAGATATCGGAACTAGAAAATGTTGTTTGTAAGATTATTTTAATTAGTTTGATACAAAACGGTACCGGATGAATGAAGGATGAATGAAGGATGAATGAAGGATGAATGAAGGATGAATGAAGGATGAATGAAGGATGAATGAAGGATGAATACGTAGCCGTCATTTAAACAGTTATAAATTTCACAAACACAGAGTTGGAATGTTTTAATCACAGAGACGAAATTGATGAGCCATGTATGTAGAAAAATACTGATTCAAATATAATCTTAAAACAAAAAAAATCAATTTTTTGTTAAGAACTTTTCTTCTTAATAATTGGCTAAATAGACATAGATAAGACCTTTGAATAAAACTTACTTAGAAAGGACATTATGTAGAGAACGATATCAAAGATTACTGCAACACTGCAGTCAGAGACGACTTATAGAAGTTATTTTTTTGTCAACTTCCTTCTTTTTGATTAAATCGTTTATTTTACTAATTTAATAAAATTCAAGGTCAAGGATCAAATTCAACCTTTAAATTGTCATACCTAAACATTTGCAGGTCGTCATTAAATTTCATCCCCGTTTTTCCCCAGAAAAAAAGGTTCCCATATAAAATAATTAAGAATGAAAAATTAGTTAAAATCAAAATAATTTAGGTATTTCCTTTTTCTTACCTGTTGATATCGCAGTAAGCATCCTGCTGTCGAAGCCTTTCCTTCGGAGCTATTCCTCGCTCTGTGATCAGAACAGTCTTTGTCAGATATCAGAACTGCCTTTGCCCATTGTCTCATTCATTTGTTCTTAATTTCGACAATCTCAACAAACCCATGGTCATCGTCAAAAACGGTCTTAGTCAATTACCGATTTTGCATTTTGGCAATCTAAGGAGAGGTCTAAAATTTTAATATGACAGTGAAGTTTTCGCCAAATATGTAATCAATTCATTGTTTATCTCTGCAGTGCAAACTGTCTGTTCTTTGATCAAAAGAGTAATATATACAGAAAACAGATGTTCCAAAAACCGCATTGGTAGCCACAGCCTAAAGGAATTGAGTCTTTGCCACAAACTCTGAATTTATAATCCCTATATCTTTGGAACCCAATGTCGCAAATCTTTGATATTTCAAACTTACATTGTTTGATCTAACAAAATTCAAAGTTTGAAATATCTAAGGTTTACGACATTGGAATCCAAAGATATAGGGTTTAGAAAAGCAGAGTTTGTGGCAAAGACTCAATTCCTTTTAAATATCTACAAAAATTTCTGATCTAATGGTTAAGACTAGAAAGTAGTTTTATCACATATAACAGGACAGTCTTGGTCCATTGCCTCATGCATTCGTTATCTTAATAGAACCATTATCAAAGAACAAAACTGCTTTAGCTTTGCACACTAAAAAAGTCTTTTCACCTTTGCATAAGTATCTCCCATCATAGCAATTAGAAGATTAAGAAGAAGAAGATATACAATCATAACAAACAGTGCCCAGTGGATCTTTCCAATTACTAAACAAAATTAGCAAATTTTTATCAATTTGAAGGAAATTTTAAAAATTATTTAAGAACAAAAAAGTCACTCACAATCCTGATGCCAAGATTCTAAAGTTTAAGCATCTAGTCAAATTTATTAGTCTCAAATCTAACGTCCAAAGACTTAATTAGTTTATTTGCACTATTAAATCTAACTTATTTTACCCAAACTTTTTGAATCGAAGGCATTCAGAAAATGTATCTAATAGGTAATAATTACCATTTCAAATTTTAATTTACAAAAAGTTATGTTTCTGTTACATGCATGTGAGGTGAAGGGTAGAGATTGCCATACACCGTCGAGATCTCCATTAGACATCATAAATGCCATTATTATACTTTCAATAGGAGTAGGCATAGGGTTCTCCTAGTGTTTATATGATTATTATCATTAATAACATCATTATCATTATTTCTATTGTTATACTCTAAATAGAGGTAGGCATAGGGTTTTCCTATAAGCATTATCATTATTATCATATCTATAATCATTACTATTATCAATATTATTGTTATCATTATCATCATTATAATTATAATAATTATAACTAACATTGACATCGTGCTCAACAAGATCAGTATCATTATCTTTATCATTATTATTATTATTATTATCATAATTATCATTAATATTATTCTTCTACTTACTAGACAGTCCTCCTCCCCACTAGGGCAGTTTCCTTGATTTTCTAATATTTTTGCCGCCAATTCATCGTTTTCAGTTGTAAAGTGAAAACTTTGGAACACCATGTACAGCGCCTGTACAGTGTAAAGTGTACAGTTAATCAGATATGTACACAAATACAGATGTTTGGAAAATATCAAAAGAAACAAAAGAAAGAAGTATGTAAACAAAGAAACTAGATTACTTTCTTTGTACATTATTTTCTGATTCTTACATCTTTTAAACTTGACCATAAAGTTACGCAGCATTAGGAATTATAAAATTAGAGTTTGAGGCTATCGTTTAGTACGTTTAAAACTCCTGTTGATTTTAAAAGTATTCATAGTTGAGGGGGGGGGGGAGGTGATATAATATACTGACCTGAGAAAATGCCATCAGAAATATAAAGAAAACTATTCCAAACTTTGCCAAGTCTTGAGCCAGCATTCTATAGATCATAATAACCATAGGACCAACCTAGCATTAAATTATGAAGTATTATTATCATTATTCAAATATTTATCACCTATCATTATTTTTTATATTTTTTATTAGATTTAATCTGGTAATAAATGGAAATCTTCCAAATCAAAAACTTGAATTTTTCTATGCCAATATGTTATTTGATGGTTTTCATAACAAATCAAAACTGAAAACATTGGGGAAAGAAGTTTAATTGAATTTTTTTTTAAAGACCGTACTTAAATTCTGTTTAGGACCGTACTAAAATTCTGTTTAGGACCGTACTTAAATCCTGTTTAGGACCGTACTTGAATCCTGTTTAGGACCGTACTTAAATCCTGTTTAGGACCGTACTTAAATCCTGTTTAGGACCGTACTTGAATCCTGTTTAGGACCGTACTTAAATTCTGTTTAGGACCGTATTTTAATTCTGTTTAGGCCCGTATTTTAATTCTGTTTAGGACCTTACTTAAATTTTGTTTAGGACCGTACTTAAATCCTGTTTAGGACCATACTTGAATTCTGATTAGGACCGTATTTAAATTCTGTTTAGGACCGTACTTAAATTCTGTTTAGGACCGTACCTAAATTCTGTTTAGGACCGTACTTAAATCCTGTTTAGGACCTTACTTAAATTCTGTTTAGGACCGTACTTAAATCCTGTTTAGGACCGTACTTAAATTCTGTTTAGGACCTTACTTAAATCCTGTTTAGGACCGTACTTAAATCCTGTTTAGGACCGTCCTTGAATTCTGATTAGGACCGTACTTAAATTCTGTTTAGGACCGTACTTAAATCCTATTTAGGACCGTACTTAAATTCTGTTTAGGACCGTACTTAAATTCTGTTTAGGACCGTACTTAAATTCTGTTTAGGACCGTGCATGAATCCTGTTTAGAACCGTACTTGAATTTTAAATTTAACCGAAAAATTAAGTTTAAATGCACTGTCAATATTATTTCAAGTGTCATTACATTAAAAAAGGCACACCCGATTCACAACGGTACACTTTTTACAACAGTACACTTTTATTGATCAATAATGTGGAGGATTACGTAATTTTACTAAATTGAAAAGTGTTAAATTCAAACAATTGTATCCAATGTTTCTGTAACAGAAATCCTGTCACATTATAGAGACAACACTAAACACTAAAAAATAATCGATTTTCAAAGAAAAATTGTTGATAGCTCATGCAGGCTTGATCAAACAAAGTTTAGTTTAGTTCAGTTTAGTTTAGTTTATAGTTTAAATCCTCTACAGAAGAAGAGCATGTAGAATCCAGTAAATCCCATTATGCAGATAGATAATCTATCCTCTAACCCTGAATACATGTATATACAGATAGATAATCTATTCTCTAACCCTGAATATACATGATACAGATAGATATTTTTAAACAGAAAGATAATCTATCCTCTGACCCTGAATACATATATACAGATAGAGATGGATAATCTGTCCTCTAACCTTGAATATATTTATATATAAATATATATACATATATATAACCCTGAATATATTTATAAGGATAGATTCCTCTAACCCTAAATATGTATATACAGATTGATAATCTCTCCTCTAACTCTGAATATATATATATTTATCCTCTAACCCTGAATATATTTATAAGGATAGATTCCTCTAACCCTAAATATGTATATACAGATTGATAATCTCTCCTCTAACTCTGAATATATATATATATATATATATACAGATCTTTCCTCTATTAACCCTTAATAATCATTCTAAGGTCAAAATTAATAAAAAAAAATTAGAAGGAGTATAGTGCTAGGTATACTGGTACAGACAGTGGATCCGCATCTCTCATATCTAGATATCACAAGACTTGTGGTTCAACAATCAATTCCTGCTTCAAATATTTCCTACTATTTATTAAATTTGATCTTAGTGTAAAAATGATTTAAAAAAAAAAAATAATACTTGTAGTCCAATGAACAGTGGCCAATTTAAAATTAAACTTTTCCAAGATAAAATGCAATTCTCCCCCATGTACCTTTTCCAAGAAAAACTGTATTTAATTTGGTAGACACGAGATATGCTTGATTATGACTGGCTAAAACTGATTAATGAAGTTAGCAAGAGAACAGAAAAATTTATTTCTCAAGCGTAAAGCATATATATGTTTAGTTTATAAAGAAGAGTCGAGTCATCTTATTTGTTGGTCAAACCAACCCAATAATATTTCAAATCATATTTGTTTTTACTTTTTCATTAACTAAAAGAGTTATTAAGCACTGTTTAATATGTATACATTTACAATACCTGAGTAGCAAAATATTCTAGCAGGAACACAAATCAGACAGAGAAAACAGGCAGTTAGAAACAAGCATCTAAATAGAATACAGGCAGTTAGAAACAAGCATCTAAATAGAATACAGGCAGTTAGAAGCAAGCATCTAAATAGAATACAGGCAGTTAGAAACAAGCATCTAAATAGAATACAGGCAGTTAGAAACAAGCATCTAAACAGAAGAAATGTTTGATCCTTTTATAAGACGGCACTCTTGTGAATTGTACATGCCTTTTTTTGGTGCCAAAGGGACCTTCTAAATTTATCTGACAAACCTTGATGGACACATGCCAAGGTTCTCTTTAAACATCTTCCATCCGAGGAATGAGAGCTCATGGAGAGCACTGAGCAGATAGCCTAGAGACCAGACCACCAGAACCATCTCACATCCAACCCTAACCTAGATATACTATATTTACCAGATATACCAGATAAACCAGATATAAACAAGAGACCAGGCCATCAGAATCTTCTTACATCAAACCGGCCCTAAACTAGTTAGGTACCATTTAAAATTTGTTTACCATTAAAAATGCACAAATAACCCTAATTTTACTTAGTTTGGATCCTTTCTAAACCAGTTTTTTTTTATTTTAATGCTATTTATGCTATTTTAATGCTGTGATCGTATTTTGACCGTTATAGATCTCATATTGGCATTGCAACCCTGTGACATTTTGAATTTGATAATCAAAATTATATCATTGATTTTAACCTGTTCGAAAGTAGTTTCATAAGATTGCAGATAACAGTAATCTTTTTCATCTTCCGGAATTTTACACTTTTTTCCAGACACCCTGCAATAGAAGATATTTTTTAAAACTTTTTTATTGACCGCCGCGATGCATGATAGGGACGGGAATACTTTTGAAAATACTGTAAAAGGAATATTTTTTAAATTTTAGAAATAATAGTTTTCCGAGAAAAAGTGTAAACAGTTACTTTTTCAATGATGTTGAGTTTGTGCTACTGCTGTTGCTGTTGAGGAGAAGTCCCGCTGTTGCATTGCTGTTGGTTTCAAGAAGAGAGAGAAAATCTGTTAAATTTTCCAAAACATAATCCAGTCCGGAGCCAACCAAATCCATTCCAGAACCTTCCACATCCAAACCAACCCGACCCAGAAGCGTCTTTAAAAGAAAAGGAGAAATACGTTACAAGTTTAATATTACGGAACCCAAAGATAACTTTAAAATCAATTGTAAACATATGAAAACTTTTTGAATTGATCCTTTTCAGTGTATCTAATCACTTTTAGCGACAGGTTTAAGATATGAATTTGGTAAATTGTCACTTTTTTAAATTTAATTTTTAATTTAATTTTTAAACTAATTTTTATTAAGGAATATCTTAACTATAAGTTGAAAAACCTCTTTATTCTTTAAAGGTTTCGAACCTGCAATATCAAAAGTTTTATTAACATGTTTAAAAGCTGATATTCTGTTCAACAGTTGCAGGCAAGAAAACTTCGAAATGAACTAAATGATTTTTACATTTTTTGTAATTGGTCAGAGCTTCGAAATTCGACCAATGAGATATCAGTAAAGGTTGATTTGCCTCTCCTTAGTCAAACGTTCAAGTTCTCCAATAAGAGCTTAATTAATTAATCTACCCAACGATGAGAAAACGAGTTCAATGCATTTAAAAGTTTCCAACTTTGTTCAAATGCATTTTACTTTATCAGTGTCTTAATTAAAATCACTTATCCCAAAATATTAAATCCTACCGAGTTCAAATCTGTTGAGTTTGAATACATGAGAGCTGTAGCGTTGAAATCACAAGGCCGGGTGGAAGGTGGAGGACCGGGCCGGGTCACGAACACAAACACGGACAACAGCAGGAAACAGAGAAATACGATGAACTGGCGCATAAACACCTTCCTGATAAAGCTTTTATACTTGACGTTGAGGAGGTCGACGATGACGTACTCGATAAGGTCGAGATTTGGTCCGAATACGATCAGGTTGAGAGCAGAGTTGACCTGCAGCTCACCAGTCTAAACAAGACAGTTTTACAGATTTTACAGTTAATGAATATTATCTTATATATATAGTATATAGTTAATATTTCATAATATTTTTTACTTTCTATGACCTGAGAGTGGCTTTTGAAAACATTCATTCCTGTTTGGAGGATTTTGATAATGAAGACGACTTTTCCATATTTTCTGGGAATGCGACAGTCGTGAAAACAAGTTGTAAGCGAAATATTAATTTTAAACACAAAATAAAAATATTATGAAATATCAACTTTATACAAATGCTGCGAAAAATAATCGATGACTATAGGATTTAATATCTAAATTATTTGTTTGATAATATTTAGATTTTTTAACGATCCAAGTCGTATGTTCCAACTTCCTCAATTTGTATAAACGCTTCGTTTTTCGGTATGAGACGTTTTTAACAATTTTCTCCATATAGACGCAACAGATAGAAGTAAGATTAGTAGCGATCAGAAGCGATTATTTATCGCCGTAGGTCCGTAGGTCCGTAGGCCATACCCCCTTTCATTTTTTGCGAACATCCCCTTTAATGTAGTTTATCTTAAAGAGATTGTAGGCGCAATGTCAAGTGACCCTTCAATAAAAAAGTGACATGTTCGATCCACAACGGTATCCTTTAAATAAAAGATATATCGTCGATTTTGTATCGTGAAACGTCTAGATCCTTAAGAATCAAACAAGCCGCTTTACAAGGGTCACTTGAAATAGTCCACAGTCCCTTTAAAATATTTTTTGTCATTTTATTGACGATTGTAAAATCTTAGAAGAAAATGATCCAGCTTGCAGAATGTTTAAAGAAAATAATAATTCAGCTCGTACACTATTAAATATTAAGCGTGGGTTTTAACAAAAGTTGCAGATTTCTACTAACAAAATCTAATAAAAATGGAAACTTCTGTAATTGCTGTTTTTGGATCATAATTATGAATAATTGTGTCAATTTATTGTGTTCTAGCATGCAAATATACACCTTGGAGTTGGATTTATAAACTACACAGATAACTGCAGAATTATGCACACATAGATTTCCATGCGAAAACAACTAGAGGCAATTTAGTTTGCAGCCTTTTTACAAAAATAAATGCAAAATGATTTAGACAAATCTAGTAAATTTTTCAAAAAAAATTACACAAAAAACCCAATTCACATGCAATTATAAAATTTAAGCATGATAAAAACAAAAAAAATACTATGTCAACATTCGCAGAAATAATTTTTTTTGTACGAAAATGAGATTTTTCGATTAAATTATCGTAATTTTGCTACATTATTTTTTTTAAAAAGTAAAGCATACCTCCGAGTGTATAGTGTCAAGGTATTTAAGAGGATAAGCCGAGCAAGTCACATTTCCAATCTGCCAGTATACTTCCCGTTCAATACTTGCAATATGGAAGAACATATCCATTCTGAAAAGTGTGATTTTTAATTTAAAGGGACTTTATATACTTCCGATTCACAAGGTTTTAAATCAAGGATTAATGAGATATCCTAGATAAGCCGCCATGGTCAAAGGAGTTAACCCCATCTTGTTATCTACTAGCTATATAAGCAACCATGGTTAAAGGAGTTTTCTATATTCCCCCTCACCTTGCTAAATAAGCCGCCATGGTTAAAGGAGTTAGCCCCATCTTGTTTTCTATATTGATCGCCGCTCCGCACTCTACTGCCATATCAAACATCTAAACTGACATCCATCAATCATCTAAACTCATCCATCATCTAAACTAACATCCATCAAACATCTAAACTGACATTCATCAAACATCTAAACTGACATTCATCAAACATCTAAACTGACATTCATCAAACATATAAACTGACATTCATCAAACATCTAAACTGACATCCATCAAACATCTAAACTGATATCAATCAATCATCTAAACTAACATCCATCAAACATCTAAACTGACATTCATCAAACATCTAAACTGAAATTCATCAAACATCTAAACTGACATTCACCAAACATCTAAACTGACATTCATCAAACATCTAAACTGACATTCATCAAACATCTAAACTGACATCAATCAAACATCTAAACTAACATCCACCAAACATCTAAACTGACATTCATCAAAGATCTAAACTGACATTCATCAAACATCTAAACTAAACTGAAATCCAATTACCAAATTCGTAAAATTTAACTAACTAGGCTTTAAGGGCGCCAATCTTCTATTTCAATTGTGAACATTTTCTCTTCGTATACATTGCAAGATCATAACAAAAAAAATTATAACAAAATTTCGTGGATTTTAAAATTTAATATAAAAAAATTTTGTTGTAGGCTTATTTTTGAAATTTTGATCATTCATAAACTTTCCCTGAGATCACGTGATGTTCTTACAAAATTTGGGCCCGGTCGGTTCAGCCGTTTTGACGTTTATTGGATACAAACAAACAAGCAAACAAACAGACACCCAGACAAGCTAAGTATATATATAAATTAGTAATCTAAAGGTGTGTCAGTGTCCAAAAATGTTACAATTTTTAAAATGGAACACACCGTGCATTGTGAACCATGAATTTATTTGCAGTATTTCTTGATACTTTTCCTTCCTTTCAATCAATTCAATATTGTTTCGTGCAGAGGTTATTTTATACCATTTTGTACATACTCAAAAACAAAATACAAAATTAAACAACTAGAACATTCTGTTAAAGAGTTCCAGATCATGTATTCTGAGTGCTAACCTTCATATTATCGAATACAACCAGTATATGCGCGACAGTGTTCCCGTTTATATCTTGGAAATCGTGGTTTCCACCTTTAGCCAGGATCAATCGGTAACATTCCTCCTACACAAATACTATATATATGTCAAAGAGAAGAGATGTAAGATGATTGTGCACATAGAGACCTAAATACAGTGTAGGTTAGGCGATTATATCAATACAATGAAGACGACTTTTTTATTTAAGTTGTTAATTTGTTATCAAGCTTTTTTCGAACAACAAGTTTACAAGTAATCAAAGAAAAGTTTTTTAAAATTTTTATTTTGATCTTTCATTCATAATCTGTCCAAAATATCGGAAGAGACCTACTCAACCTTAATATTTAAAATGCATATCCCAAAAAAAATGTGTAATAAAAGTAAGTGTGAAAAATTTAAATCAAGGGAAGGAAATTGGCTACAAAGTTAAGACTCACTGAACTTTTAACCAGGACCTCTAGAATAAAGTATTAAACGTCTTAGAAATAGACAATATTTCTACTTACACTACATATATAATTCATACTTAGCAAATGAAATCATGAAGAAGACAAATTTTTATTTAATATTTTTAATGCAGATTATAAATTCTTTTTTTATAAATTAAAAATTTTTATAAATAAAAAAAAAAACAAAGTGGAAATCTGTAAAGTAAATTATAACAAATATATACGATTAATTTAGCATTCAATTTTTGATGAATTTTGATAAAATTTTGGAAACGATAAAGCACATTTTCCTAAATTTTAGACTTAAAAAAATTTCTTTAAAAAATTTCGCGAATTTTTTTCCGTTATATTTTTTTAGAATTTTTTATCACATTTTATTTTTTATGCCTAAAATCCAAAGTAAACAAAAATTTAGACAATTTTGTCCAAAACATTAATAATCTCTTTTTTTACTCACCCTGTACAACAACAGGTCTAAAATAGTCAGGAAACCAACCCATTAGATTTATCAAGTTTATCAAAACTTTTCTTTCTCAAAAGAAAGACAAGATACACAATCTAACTTGATCCAAAACTTTGAAAGTTAGATTTTTGTCAGGCTATCGAATATCTAGAAGTTTGAGTTTATATTTCCGAAATATTTCTAAACTTTCCAAGTATTAAGGGCAAAAAATACAACTTTTTGACCTGGTCCTACCGAGGAACAGATTTAATGAAGCATGAGAAGTAGTTGAACTACATAGACTAAAATTTAAACCACTTTTCTTCTATTTAACCCGGCATAAAAAATAGGTCGTTCAGCTTTATTTACATCGAAGGTAAATTATAAAATGTCGTTTTCTAAACTTACTGATAATGGATTACCGCAGATAATTAGTTTTGTTATTGATTAATTATATGAAGCTTCTTAAAACTGCTCCTATATATTTCGTGGCTATTGCTTTATTTTAAAAAAGAAAAATAGATGATCCTCATGCCGAAAAAAATAACACATTAAAAAAATGTTAAAGGAAATATTTCGATGTCTCCGAAGTTCTGGGCTAAACTGTAGATCAACCATTTCTCGCTATTTATCATATTTGGTTCCTGACCAAGCACAGCTGCAGTTTAGTAATTACATGATATTTTATCCCTGATATTACCTGACCAAGAACATCTGCAAAGTTTCTTAAATACCATGATATTTCATCCCTGATATTACCTGACCAAGAACATCTGCAAAGTTTCTTAAATACCATGATATTTCATGCCTGATATTACCTGACAAAGAACAGCTGCAAAGTTTCCTAAATACCATGATATTTCATCCCTGATATTACCTGACCAAGAACAGCTGCAAAGTTTCATAAATACCATGATATTTTATTTCTGATATTACCTGATCAAGAACAGCTGCAAAGTTTCATAAATACCATGATATTTCATCCCTGATATTACCTGACCAAGAACAGCTGCAAAGTTATGAGGATACTCCCCCCAAGCAACGTATCCCTAAGAACGGATTTAATGAATCGCGGGAAATAGTTGAATCGCGTTGCCAAAACTGAACCACTTTTATTCATCTTGAACCGGGACTGACCTGACTGGCCTGACTGACCTGACTGACCTGACTGACCTGACTGACCTAACTGACCTGACTGACCTGACTGACATGACTGACCTGACTGACCTGACTGACCTGGGTACACAAGAGAAGTGGTTTACTGGGTTCAATTTTATTTTCGCTTTATATTAAATTTTGTTCCTGATAATTAGTTTTGAGTGGAAGTAAGACCTCCTCCTGCTCTGTAGTATCCATTCGGAACTTTTTCTGATCATCACAAGTGAAGAAGTTACCGTAACATTTTCTAAAAATAGTTCAGCTTTTTTTCTTTCTTTTTCTTTTAAAAACAGTCAAAACCAAATAAAAAGCCAACCATGACCGAATTTAATGAATTGGCTGGTCGTTGAACTACCTACCGCCGGTTCAAATCCTGAATCGGCGTGGCGGCAGGCGATTTCATTAATTTTGGTCCCAGAAACTTAATACTTTGAATACAAAAACATTGATTGCAGTTTCTTGAAGGAATATTTACAAACTTAGTTCTGTTCAGTCTCAGTTCCATAACATTCCTCATAGAAACTAGGGTACGTTTTTTCAAACTTTGATTTATAGGCTTTAGGATGCTTCGCGCATCTTTTTCCAGTAAGAATGTTAGTTTTTAAAGTTTCTCTTGAAGCCATAATTTTACATAATTTCGCGGATTTTTCTAAGGCAACATTCATTCCAGTCATAACTCTTCTCTGGGGATATTTAAGTTGCCTATAAAAACTTGGTCTAATCGGTTTATCAGCGTTATACGTTTACTGGATACAAACAGACAAACCAAAATATTTCTAGAGTATCATTCCTTGCTAAATAATGTTTGATTTTAAATACTGGGGTACTTGAAAACCAGGATACGCTGGGGGGGGGGGGGGGAATTTG